GAGGTGACCATCGACCGGGCGACCTTTGCACAGTCAATAGTGATGGGCCTGTTACAAATAGAGCCAACAGACCTGTACTGCTTGATAACCCTGCCGGGAGGGAGGGCTTTTGATGTCAGTTTCAACTCAAGCCCCCTGCTACAGAGATTCTTGACCCACTTCGAGGAGAAGGCGGAGAAGCTGCTGGCATCAATGAAGTTGCAGCTGCTATCGGAGCTGGATACGAAGGTGGTGACTGTCTTCCTGTATAATGAAGCTCTACACGACCATGACGTGGAGGTCTGGTTGAGACAGCATTGCTTGGTACTGTCGGGCTGTAATAAGGTGAGGGATTCGGTGGGGATATGGACAGGGGCTAGACAATGGAGGGTGCGGCTGAAGACAGAGGGGGGGGGGGGGGGGGGCCCTGAGACACATCCAGAGTGCCCTGAATATAGGAGGCAGCCGGGGATATGTTGTATATGCGGGACAGCCCAAACTGTGTAGGAGGTGTGGGGGACGCGGACACCTGGCCGCAGCGTGCGAGGCAAGGGTCTGCTATAGAATCAAGGCACTGGACCACGTGGTGGAAAAGTGCAGTGTCCCGGCACAATGTAATCTCTGCGGTAGCAGAGAACATCTATACAGAAACTGTCCGGAATCGTATGCCAACAGGGTTAGGGCGTATGGGGGGGGGGGGGGGGGGGGGGCGGCGGGGGATGAGGGGGGCGGGACCAGACTGGGGCCGGATAGGGAATTGGAGAGGAAGGAGCGAGTGGAGGTGGCCGAGCAGCGGCCACCGGCGACGGGCGTAGCGGGAGAAGGGGAGAGGCCCGCGGAATGAGAGGAATCGACATCGAGCGAGCAGAAGGGGGGGCTGGCGGGGGAGGGGAGCGACGGCATGGGCAGCATCTCCGAGACGACCGTGGAAGACTGGGTGGAGGCGGTGAAGGAAAAGGGGAACGACAGCAGGAGGAAGGTGGCAGCGAGACATGGGAGGGACCAAGCGGAAGGAAAAGGAAGCTACAGAGAGCCCCAAAAAGAGTCGCCCCTTCAGGCAGCGCTGAACCCTTGGACTCTTCGCCGGACACTGAGGCCTCGAGGGAGGGGATGGAGGAAATGGTGGGGAGCCGGCGCAGGGGGAAACCCTTGAGAACAAGGGGCAAGATGAAGCTGCGGGAGCTGGCGAACGAAAGCTGTTACGGAGGGTGAGCGGAGAGGGTGGAGTCAGACTGAGACACATCCCGACATGGAACTTACCGTGGCGTCCGTGAATGTGAGAAGTTTGAAGGGAAAGGGGAGGAGAGGAGCGATAATGCAACTGCTGCAGGCTACCAAGAGGGAGGTGGTCTTCCTCCAAGAATGTCACCTACCATATACCCTGGGCCGGGAGGAGCTGTTGGAGGGCTGGGACGGGTACTACTTCTGGTCAGGGGGCAATGAAAACCGATGCACGGGGGTGGTTTACCCTCCTAGGCAGGAGGGGTACACAAATAACGGGGTCCCAAGAGGTGATCCCGGGACGTCTCCACTATGTGGACGTATCCTATGGGGATGCGGAACTGAGACTGATAAATGTGTACGCCCCCACGACATGTGCAGGAAGGATGGACATGTGGAATAACGTGGCGACCCTGCTGGCCACGAGACGGCAGATCATAACGGGACTGGATGGAATCCCGGCGGAATTCTACATCACTTTTTGTGATTTGTTGAAGGAGGATATGCTGCAAATTTGCAGGGAGATGCTGGAGGGCGGCCTGGTGCCAGAAGACATGAGTGAGGGGCTCAGCCAATAAATTGCAACTTGAGTCACTACGTATGAGATCTTCACTTAAAACTGCTCTCGAGGAGTTGTACACTCCTAGCTGCCAGTGCTATTCAGTCGCCTAAAATAAAATGTTTCGCCCCGGATGATCGCTGCAAAGTATGACCTGTGTTTTGATTTAGTGTGCTGATTTTAAAGGTGCATTGAAAAATGATAATACTCCGATTGATGCTCCTGCTGTTGTGGAGTGACGCATGCAGCCAGCTATGGCTGCAGGGTTTTGGTAGTACATGTTGTTTGTCGTTTATTGTGAAAATTCCGTCACAGTTCCTATGATCACTGTCTCATTGCTTTATTTTGATTTCGAAAAGTTTACTGGTTTGGCCATGTTTGTTTGGTGTAGTACGGAGTAAGACTGATGGCCTTAATCTAAGTTGTCTTGTGGTTGTTGTTTGACTTGCATCCCACTGGGATTTTTTCACACAGCGTTGGTGTACGGTGTTTTTTCTGCAATATTTTGCTGTCTTTTCTTGGATTTTCTGTTTGCACTTAGTCACATATTCACTTTAAGATGTTTTCTTGTTCATGTTTTAGTTTTTTGTTTATTGCGGTTGCACCCGATTCAAGAGCCGAATGGCTCACAGGGCTATACCTAATAAATGAACTTGAACTTGATCACACTGATGTATAAGGGGAAGGGGGACCGGAGAGATTTGAGAAACTGGAGGCCAATTACGCTTTTGAACTCAGACTATAAGATCATGGCAAAGACAGTCACGACACGCTTCGCTTGGGGAGGGTGGTGGGAGAGGTGGTCGAGCCCGACCAAACATGCGCGGTGCCGGGACGAAAGATCTCGGACTCACTGGTGCTACTGTGGGAGGCGATCGAGGTGGAGGGAGAGAGAGGGTGCCCCCTGGGGCTCCTAAGTCTGGACCTGGAAAAGGCATTCGATCGGCTCTCACACGAGTACGTCTTTGCAGTGCTAGACAAAATGGGAGTGAGGGAACCCCTGGTGGAATGGGTGAGATGCATATACCAAGGACTTAGGACCAGGGTGATGGTGAACGGAGAACTCTCAGAGACGATCTTAGTGGAGTCGGGGGTAAGGCAAGGTTGCCCGATGTCCCCGGTGCTGTTCGTAATGGGCATGGAACCTCTCGCAAAGGCGATACGGAATAGCCAGGGGATCAGGGGAGTGAAAGTCCCAGGGAACACTGTTTGGCATCTTTTTCTCACTTATGCTCACACATGCCTTTGGGACAGCAGAAGAGGGAGTTTTTCTCCAAACAAGATCTGATGGCAAACTCTTCAACCTTGGCCATCTCGGATCCAAAACCAAAGTCAGCAAAGTCCTTGATCAGAGAACTCCTATTCGCTGACGATGCTGCGCTGACAGCTCACACAGAACAAGGTCTGCAGACACTCATCGACCACCTTGCCAATGCCTGCAACAACTTTGGCCTTACAATCAGTCTGAAAAAACAACAATGTCATGGGCCAGGATGTCAGACACCCCTTCCATAAACATTGGCAGCTACACCCTTGAAGCCATTCAGGACTTCACCTACTTGGGTTCCACCATCACCTGCAATTTGTCACTTGTCACAGAGATTGACAAGCGCATTGGGAAGGCGTCTAAAGCTATGTTCAGGTTGACCAAAAGAGTGTGGGAGAACAAATCCCTGACGCTCAACACCAAACTACAGGTGTATCGGGCCTGCGTACTTAGCACCCTCCTCTATGGGTCTGAGTCCTGGGCAACATACGCCCATCAAGAACATCGATTAAACACATTCCACCTCCGATGTCTCAGGCGCATCCTCGGTATCAGATGGCAAGATCGCATTCCCAACACCTCAGTCCTCAACATGGCCAACATTCCTAGCATGTACTCTCTACTCAGTCATAGGCGCCTGAGATGGCTTGGACGCGCGCGCCGCAAGCAGGATGGCAGAATACCCAAGGATATCTTGTACGGCGAGCTGGCATCAGGCACACGAGCCACTGGTCGCCCAGTCCTGCGCTTCAAAGATGTCTGCAAACAGGACATGAAGAGCTGCGACATCAACCCAGGTGACTGGGAGCAAACTGCCGGTGACCGACTCAGATGGCAGCAGGCTGTGAAAACAGGCCTCAGGAGAGGCGAGGAGAAAAGACACACTGCTTAGCAGACCAAGAGGGAGCGACGTAAAGATAAAGCAACAAATACCTCTGGAGCTGCCACCGCATTCACTTGCAATTGCTGTGGCAAGGATCGCCACTCAAGGATTGGCCTACTAAGTTATTCTAGGCGCTGCAGAACCTACAGCTGACCTCGTAAGGTGCAAAAGAATTGTCTCTCGAGACACACAGGCCTATTGACTATACTACTTTCCACTGCACTTCTATACACTACACTACTATACACTACACTACCATACACTACACATTTGGCTCTATGCAAGTCCGTCATTAAGCGATTCAACGTTAACAGGGGTGGTTATTAAGAGGGGTTCTACTGTAATTGTATAGAATTAAATAAATAAAACTGCTATTAAGATTACACTTTTATAATTACATTAATACATTATTTTATCATTATTTTAACCACTGGTATATACAACACCGACGTGGGATGCTGCGGACGGTGGGAGTGGGCCTGTCGCTTTTTCTCAGCCAGCTGGAACCTCCATCAGCCAGGGTCTCTGGGGATGTTTGGACCGTGTACCCAAAGCAGCCATTGCAGCTGCGTGAGCCACAGTCCTGAACCTCACCCATTTATCCTCGGCATCAGGAGGAGGAAAATCGACGTCACGCGTTTTAGAGTATTTGGCTGCTGCTATGAGTGTCCACGTGATGATGATGACGATGATATCGGCCACTTGGTTGAGCTGCTATAATTCGTGATGGCCCAGGTCGTTCTTGAAAAAGAGCTACACAGCAAATTTCGATTTAAAGCTTTCGTGACTGCAGGGATTCATCTTCTTGGTCTTCATTCAGACACTGTCTTTCCGACAGACCTGTTCTTCACCTGAGGACGGCTGCTTGCGTTGTGGCCGAAACGTCGTGAGAATTATTTTATTATGTAATATTTTTATTATTTTATTATTTCCCTTCTACGTGACTTTACCGAAAGAACCAAGAAGATGAGCTACACAGCAGTTCAGCAGGGCCTTACTCCTGATAACAACAAAAAGTTTACATCCGCGCTCTGCCGATCTCATCGCTCACCCACGCTCGCGCCACTCAGCCCACTCTGTCTCTCTCTCGCTTCAGCATTATTATTTATTCATCATCATCGGCCCCTTCATTATTTCACGCAAATTACCGCCGCCACCACCGCCGCCACTGCCGTGTATTCATTCTTCCTCCTCGTCACTCAGTCGGCCACCGTCGCAGTAGAGCAGCAGCACCATGGTCACCACAGCCACCACGGCCACTCCGGCGCCCACCACCAGCCAGGCCGGCGAGCGGCACAGCCTCCCGGCAGTGCCGACTTCACCTGGAATGAGCAGTCCCCACACTACTTCACTCAGAACTTCACGGTGGCTAGGAGATGTTAACTACCTTGCCCGGTATACAGGAGGATGTGGGTTCGATCCTGACCCTGACTATGCCTTCTGCTGTATATTTGGAGTTTGCATGTCTCTCTATCATCATCACGGTGGCTAGGAGATGTGAACTTCCTCGCCTGGCATAAAGGAGGTCGTGGGTTCTATCCTGACTCTGACTATCTTTCCCTTCTGTATATTTGGAGTTGGCGTTTCTCTCTCTCCCCGTGGTCGCGTGGATTTTTCTCCGGGTCCTAATTTAGAAACACACGTTTAGAGTATGTGGCTGCTGCTAGAAATGTCCACAGATGACGGTGATATCAGTCACCTGTTTGAGCTGCTATCATTTGTGATGGCCAGGTCACTTCTGAAAAATAGCCTACGGAGCTGGTTTTCCAGTGGGCCTTACACCTGGTCAAATAATTTTTTTTGAAAATATGTATTATCTTGGTTAGGCTGGCCTTGTAGTCTAATGGTCGTGCATTACACCAATAATCCCCACTCCTCGCACTCATTTACATGCACAAAGTGCTCGTCACATCAAATGAACCAAGAAGAGTAAACAATCATCACGTCAACTCCGCTCATCATCCTCGCAGCAGCAGCAGATTTGGCTTAGCCATTGAACAAAGACTACACTATACACTACTATACACAGCACTTTACACATTATACACTACACACACACTACGTTATACACTACACTACACACACAACGCTATACACTACAGCACTATACTAAAGTTCAACTTATACACACATGCACACATCACAAACCTCGCACACCACCCCTCCCATCCTCCTCCTCTTCCTTCCTCCTTCTCCTCCTCATCGCCTCCGGTCCACACGCTCCTCCACTCCCATCATCACCATCAGCGCCATCGGCGGTGACGATGGGTCCCGTGGTCTCCTCCTCCTCCACCACCATGGCCACCACCTCGGAATGAGAATTGAAATGTTCATTAATCTCCCGGAGGAGCAATCTGATAAGCAAGAAAGCGCTTTTGTTCTCACAGATGTCAAAAAAAGTTACGAGACTAACACATACACAGAATACACAACACACGACACAACGCAAACAACGATAGGAATGCCAAAGCGTGGGAAAGGTAAGTAGCTTAATGCGAAATAAATACTTAAAAATAGATAAAGTATATACAGTACAGGGACTCCTCTACTTCCGAACGAGTTGGGTTCCAGAGGTCTGTGTTGGTAAGTCGATTTGTTCGCAAGTCCCAACTTTACTTCTGTCGATTCCAAACGTGTCGTTACGACGTGTACACTAAACACGGGGAATGGCTTTAAAAGTTGTATAATCTGCTGTAGATGTAGCCAGAGTTGTGGAGAAACCCTCCTCCTGTTTCGGTCTTCAAAAGTAGTAGCCGTGCCACTGTGGGTCATCCAGAACAGAGACCGTACGACGTGTAACGCAAGTGATCTAACGCACGTTCGAACTTCTTTTGCCCCGTACGTAGTCAACCGTGCAAGTCGGAGGTGCTGTGCATGTATCAATAATGTATGGAAAACGACGCACTGCTCGATGCTATGTATGTACAGGAAATACTCTACTTTCGAACGAGTTAGGTTCCAGAGGTCTGTTCGTAAGTCCCAACTTTACTCCTGTTGATTCAAAACGTGTTGTTACGGCATGTACACTAAACACGGGGAATGGCTTTAAAAGTTGTATAATCTGCTGTAGATGTAGATGCCACTGGTTCTTCATGTTCTGCAGATATAAATGCCACTGGTTCATGTCCTGCAGATGTAGATGCCACTGGTTCTTCACGTTCTGTAGATGTAGATGCCACTGGTTCTTCATGTTCTGCAGATGTAAATGCCGCTGGTTCTTCACGTTCTGCAGATATAGATGTCAGTTTCTTCACTTCTGCAGATTTAGATGCCACCACTGCCGTCTATTACACAGGGCGGTTGAACTTAAGACTCTCGGTCTGAACAGGCAAATGGACCACACGGGACCAGGTGTGATCGTATCTCTGAGTCGAATGTTCGTAAGTAGAGGAGTCCCCGCATTCAATCTCAAATTGCATTCGTGCACCAATTCCCAAGCTTGGGCAAGGCAGCAAACGCTACAGTCCCAGACCCTCAATAAAATTGCACATTAACATTAATAATAAAATAAAATGCACAGTGCGGCATTCCATCCTAGGATCTCAATGCACCAATGCATGAAAAGCAGGAAACAAAAACAGAACCAGGGGGAAACTGACCAAACTAGAGAGGGAAGGCCACTTTAAAAAAAGATGGGATTTCAAATCAAAGACTTAAATATACCCACCGACTCCGATTGCCCTGATTTAAAGCGGAAAAGGGCATTCCATAGCATGCGGGTGCCACGCTAGCAAACCGATCGCCATTAGAGTGCAGCCCTAGAGACCCTTAAGAATGCTGAGCAGTTGGGAGATTGGAAGATCTTAAGGACCTTGAGGGAATATGTCAATGTAATTAGTTCCTGCAAGTAATTGTGGGGTGGTTAGGATCAAAGTCACAAATCACCTTTTGAAATAGGTGGCTGCGTCCAGCATTCGCTCAACACGTTAAGGAATAACTCCGTGGTGTCTCTATCCAACGTGATGTAATTAAACTATTGATTTTTAATTTATTTTCTTTCACCAGGTAAGAAGGCCCACTGAGCCACTCACCCACCCACTCACTCCCCGACTACATCTCCGATTAGCACAGTTGGCTACGTACAGTGCAAGAGAAGTTCAACGCGCGCACGCATACGTACGTACAGGAACGACCTGGCTATTGCAAATGATAGCTCAACGAAGTGGCTTATCGCGTGGAGATTTACAGCGGCCAAATACTCTAAACTGGTTGCGACATTCACAACTATAAGACATTTTTTATTTTACCAGGTTAAGGCCCCATCGAGCTATTTAGCTCAAAATCGACCTGGCCATCACAAATAATAGCGGCTCAACCAAGTGGCTTATCATCATCAAGTGGATATTTATAGGAGCAGCCACATACTCTAAAGTCCAGGGATGGGAAACCTTTTTTTTTTGCCAAGGGCCATTTGGACATTTATAACATAATTCGCGGGCCATACAAAATTCTCATCTTAAAGATTAGCCTGTTATATTTGGTCAAACATTTAATTAACTCACCCCTATGATGGATGGAACCGCAACATAATTTTGCGGGCCTTATACGGCCCGTGGTGCCAGATGTTCCCCACCCCTGCTCTAAACGCATGTTTATGCAGACTCAGCGACCCATAGAAATCCACACAGCCCCATAGAAATCCATATTCAGAGACCCATACTCATAGAGACCCATTGAGACCCACAGAGACCAATAATCATAGAGAGCTGCAGAGACCCATACAGACTCACAGAGACCCATACAGACCCACAGAGACCTATACAGACCCACACTAACCCACAGAGAACCAGACTGGTAGAGACCCACAGAGACTCATCTTCATCGAGACCCATACTAAAACTAAACTATTTTTATGTTACCAGGTGTGAGGCCCCCCTACTGAGCTGCTACGTAGCTCTTTCTCAGAAGCTACCCGGCCATCACAAATGATTGCAGCTCAACCAAGTGCCTAATAGCATCATCATCATCATCGCGTGGACATTTATAGTGGCAGAAAACACACAACAGTCCCCACCTCCTCGGCCTCCTCCACCTCCTCCGCCCCGGCGAGTCCCAGGCCCAGGACCTCGCCGACCCTTGCGGCGCAGTCGGCCGCCGTCTCGTCGGGGAAGGCAAAGTGGCAGAGGCGGGCACCCCACAGGCCCGGCACGGGGACGAAGACTCGGCGAGGCAGGACCTTGGCCGTGGCCGCGGCCTCGCGCCCCGCCCCCACGAGCTCCTCCTCTTCCAACAGCAGCTCGCAGCGCGTCCACAGCGAGGCCACGGCGTCCGCCTTGAGCGCCCTCAGCGCCGGCCCTGCCAGCAGCGGCCTCTGCTGGGGGTTGACGAGCGCCCGGCAGCTCGCCGAGCCAACGATCTGCAGCAGGCCGTGGGGGCACGGTCCCCCGGCACCGGGGGCGGCGGCCCCGGTGGCGTCCCGGGGGGGCGGTAGCAGCATCCGCACGGCGATGGGCGGGGACGGGCGCTGCTGCTGCTGTTGCTTTAGACGCCGCCGGCCACCGCCGCCGCCGCCGCCACCGCCGCCGCCGTCCGCAAGGCTGATGGCCTCATTGTCGCGCAGGAACCTCCCGTCCACGAGGCACACGGCGCGCCGCAGCTGCCCCGCCAGCTGGCGCGTCGCGGCGCGCAGGGCCCCGGCGGCCGACGCTCCGCCACCGCGACCGCCGGGCGGGGAGAGCGGCGCGCGCAGCTCGAGGTGCAGGGTGCAGCGCAGCTCGATGAGGAGCGGCGTCGCGCCCTGCTGCTGCTGGTGCTGCGGCGGCTTCGGCCGTAGCTTCCACTCGGCGCGCGACACTGCCGCCTGGGCGTCGCGGACGTCGTAGGAGCTGCACCAGCGGCCGGGGCCAATGGCGAGCAGCGCGGCTCGGTGCTTCCCGTCCGCCTCGTCGTCATCGTCGTCGTCGTCTCCTCCTCTTCCCTGTGGAGGCCGCCCCCGGGCCAGGGCACGCTCCACCACGAACAGGAGCCGCCGCAGCTTGGCCTGTCGCTTCTCGGTGTCGCCGCCGTACGCCGTCGCCGCCGGGGAAGGCGAGGAAAACGCCGAGGATGGCAATGCCCCCCGGGAGCATCCGGCGGACGAGGCGGGCGTGCTCCGCCGCCCACGCCTCCCCCGCACGCTCCCCGTCCTCTTCCTCCTCTTCGTCGTCATCGCGGGCCGGGGTGGGCACGGCCAGCAGCACCACGTCGCGGTTCGACGGCGATGAGGCGGAGGAGGTGGATGAGTTGCCAGTCAGGCCCAGCAGGAGGCCGGTGCGGCCCTCGGCCGGGGCCGTGGCGGCGGCCGAGCTCAGAGCTCGCTCGGCAGCCTCCTCGGCCACGAAGAGCCGGGCCGTCTGGGCCATCGGGGCCTAGGGGAGGTGGGAGGGGGGGGGTACCGTGTGAGTCTAGCCGGTTAACCTCCATCCCCTCTCATACCGCGGTCATGAATACTCACGAGGGGGGACAAATCGGCTAGGGAGACAACAATTCAGAGACGATGATGAGTAGATTTACTCCACGTCGTGTTCTGTCCTCCAGAGAAGTTGGGGTGACTCCACAACAGCTGAACACCAGAGGGGCAGTTTGTGAAATGGAAAAACTTTACTGCAAAGCGTTTCTCTGTAGGGCAAGTGGTGTGTCTGCAATAGCGACCAGAAACACATCGCCCTCCCACGTCTACAACACCGCAGCTGAATTCCGTAATACATAGTCCGCCCAAATCCCAATTATGATAACAGCCGCTTATTGTAGCCGGTCCGCCCAGTCCCCTCTCTTCACTCAGTCATGAATCCTTGTGAGGGGGGATAGTCAGGTCCAGCTAAGGAGACAACAATAATAATAAAGTTCGGAGTCGATGATGAGTAGATGTACTCCACGTCGTGTTCCGTCCTCCGGAGAAGTTAGGGTGCGCTCCAGAGGGGTGGGGGGGGGGGGTGTGAAATGGAACAACTTTATTGCAAAGTGTTCCTCTGTAGGGCAAGTGGTGTGTCTGCAATAGCGACCAGAAACACATCGCCCTCCCACGTCACAATACCGCAGTTCAATCTCTCAGCGCAACCTCTCTACCTTCCATTTAATTACCACAAGACCACGTGAAGCATATTAAACTAAGCTACAGCAGAGGTATAAGGAATCCAACAGGATCTACATCTCTTTATTGACCTGGTCAAGGCCTACGATACCATCAATAGCCCTGGGCTCTGGGTTGTTCTTCATGCTTTTGGAGTCCAATCATTAAGGACCTTTATGATGGTGAGCGGGCCCGGGTAAAACTACGTGATCGGGAGTCAGAGCTATTCCCTGTACACCTTGAGGTGCGACAGGGATGTCCTCTGGCTCCCACATTATTTCACATATATTTTGACCACGTAGTTCGTGAAGCCTTCAGTAGCTGTACCGGAGGAATTTCCATCTGGTACAGATACAATGGGAGGCTGATCGATGACCGGGTGCGGTCAAGGGATGGCTCCCTATTGGTCAACCACGTTATGTATGCCGACGACCTGGTAATTGCGGCTCACTCAGAGGAGGAGTTTGAGACGCTGTTGCTGAACCTGGAGCGTGCCACTAAGAGGTGGGGCTTTACCATCAGCCCCATCAAAACTAAGCACCTGCCTGGGTATTTTGTACCATCGGACACTCCATCCCCACTTCTCCCAATCAGTGATGGGGCAGTTGAGCCGCAATATCTTTTCGTCGGTTGCGTAACGCTGTGTGGAAGCTGCCTGGGGTCTGTCGCTCCGCACGAAGCTTCAGGTCTTCTCGGCCACAATCATTCCCTCCCTTCTCTATGCTTGCGAAACGTGTACCCCCCTAATGGAGAATCTTCGCCAGTGAGAAACATTTAGGCTGGCCTGCCTACGATCCATCCTGGGTTTAACCAGGCTGCATTGTGTGAGGAGCTCACAAATCCTTGAAAGATCTGGGCAAAGTCCCATTGGTGAGCTCCTCCGGCAGGCAAGGCTGCGTTGGCTGGGTCATGTAGCCCGCATGCCCAGCCACCGCATGCCAAAACAGCTGTTGTTCGGCCGGATCGAGGGGGCTAAACGGGTGCGGCACGGGCTAGAGAAGAGATGGAGTCATGTGGTACAGGAGGACGTGGATCTGAGTGGACTTGCCGATGACCGGTACCAGCGGTGTCAAGATCGGCCTCTGTGGAGGAGGCTCGTGAAGGACGCTACTGGGCAGTTAGAGGCAGTCGCCCTCCAGCAACAACGGAGGGCGGAGGAGCGACGTTCACAACAACGAGCGGAGCGCCGGGTGGCTAAAGCACAGCAAGTTGGCACAGTAGGGGGCACAGGTGGTGCATCAGCCAGTCATCTCGGTCAGTCGACCCGTGACACCTGGGTCTGCCCCGTGACCTCCTGCCAGCGGGCGTTCGACACTTCACGTGGCCTCAAGGTGCACATAGCCTGGCACAAGCGTCATGGTGACGTCACCGCCACTTAGTGGCGAATGGCGGTTGTTGTTGTGTCACACTGTGTGTGTGTCACACTGTGTGTGTGTCACACTGTGTGTGTGTCAGTCACTGTGTGTGTGTCACACTGTGTGTGTGTCAGTCACTGTGTGTGTCACTGTGTGTGTCACTGTGTGCCACAGTGTGTGCCACAGTGTGTGTGTGCCACAGTGTGTGTGTGCCACAGTGTGTGTGTGCCACAGTGTGTGTGTGCCACAGTGTGTGTGTGCCACAGTGTGTGTGTGCCACAGTGTGTGTGTGCCACAGTGTGTGTGTGCCACAGTGTGTGTGTGCCACAGTGTGTGTGTGCCACAGTGTGTGTGTGCCACAGTGTGTGTGTGCCACAGTGTGTGTGTGCCACAGTGTGTGTGTGCCACAGTGTGTGTGTGCCACAGTGTGTGTGTGCCACAGTGTGTGTGTGCCACAGTGTGTGTGTGCCACAGTGTGTGTGTGCCACAGTGTGTGTGTGCCACAGTGTGTGTGTGCCACAGTGTGTGTGTGCCACAGTGTGTGTGTGCCACAGTGTGTGTGTGCCACAGTGTGTGTGTGCCACAGTGTGTGTGTGCCACAGTGTGTGTGTGCCACAGTGTGTGTGTGCCACAGTGTGTGTGTGCCACAGTGTGTGTGTGCCACAGTGTGTGTGTGCCACAGTGTGTGTGTGCCACAGTGTGTGTGTGCCACAGTGTGTGTGTGCCACAGTGTGTGTGTGCCACAGTGTGTGTGTGCCACAGTGTGTGTGTGCCACAGTGTGTGTGTGCCACAGTGTGTGTGTGCCACAGTGTGTGTGTGCCACAGTGTGTGTGTGCCACAGTGTGTGTGTGCCACAGTGTGTGTGTGCCACAGTGTGTGTGTGCCACAGTGTGTGTGTGCCACAGTCCGGGAGTCGGAGCCTTTCCCTGTACACCTTGGGGTGCGACAGGGATGTCCTCTGGCTCCCACATTATTTAACATCTATTTTGACCGCGTAGTTCGTGAAGCCTTCAATAGCTGTACCGGGGGAATTTCCATTTGGTACAGATATAATGGGAGGCTGATCGATGCCCGGGTGCGATCAAGGGATGGCTCCCTATTGGTCAACCACGTTATGTATGCCGATGATCTGGTAATTGCTGCTCATTCAGAAGAGGAGTTGGAGACGCTGCTGCTGAGACTGGAGCGTGCCACTAAGAGGTGGGGCCTTACCATCAGCCCCACCAAAACTAAGCACCTGCCTGGGTATTTTGTACCATAGGACACTCCACCCCCACAACTCCCAATTAGTGATGGGGCAGTTGTGGAAAGAGTGGAGAGTTTCCCATACCTGGGCAGTGTGCTTATGACCGGCTCCAGTTTATCAGCAGAGGTCTCACTCCGAATCAGTCGAGCGGCAATATATTTTCATCGGTTGCGTATCGCTGTGTGGAAGCTACCTGGTCTGTCGCTCCGCACGAAGCTTCAGGTCTTCTCGGCCACGGTCATTCCCTCCCTTCTCTACGCTTGCGAAACGTGGACCCCCCTAGTGGAGCATCTTCGCCGGTTGGAAACATTTAGGCTGGCCTGCCTACGATCCATCCTGGGTTTAACCAGGCTGGATTGTGTGAGGAGCTCACAAATCCTTGAAAGATCTGGACAAAGTCCCATCAGTGAGCTCCTCCGGCAGGCAAGGCTGCGTTGGCTGGGTCATGTAGCCCGCATGCCCAGCCACCGCATGCCTAAACAGCTTTTGTTCGGCCGGATCGAGGGGGCTAGACGGGCGCGGCACGGGCTGGAGAAGAGATGGAGTGATGTGGTACAGGAGGACGTGGAGCTGAGTGGACTTGCCGATGACTGGTACCAGCGGTGTCAAGATCGGCCTCAGTGGAGGAGGCTCGTGAAGGACGCTACTGGGCAGTTGGAGGCAGTCGCCCTCCAACAACAACGGAGGGCGGAGGAGCGACGCTCACAACAACGAGCGGAGCGCCGGGTGGCTAAAGCACAGCAAGTTGGTACAGTAGGGGGCACAGGTGGTGCATCAGCCAGTCATCTCGGTCATCTCGGTCAGTCGACCCGTGGCACCTGGGTCTGCCCCGTGACCTGCCAGCGGGCGTTCGACACTTCACGTGGCCTCAAGGTGCACTTGGCCTGGCACAAGCATCGTGGTGACGTCACCGCCACTTAGTGGCGAATGGCGGTTGTTGTTGTTGTTGTGTGCCACAGTGTGTGTGTGCCACAGTGTGTGTGTGCCACAGTGTGTGTGTGTGCCACAGTGTGTGTCACTGCGTGCGTGTGCCACACTGGGTGCGTGCGTGTGCCACACTGGGTGCGTGCGTGTGCCACACTGGGTGTGTGTGTCACCTACTGGGTGTGTGTGTCACCTACTGGGTGTGTGTGTCACTGCGTGTGCCACACTGCGTGTGTCACTTACTGGGTGTGTGTGTCACCTACTGGGTGTGTGTGTCACCTACTGGGTGTGTGTGTCACCTACTGGGTGTGTGTGTCACTGCGTGTGCCACACTGCGTGTGTCACTTACTGGGTGTGTGTGTCACCTACTGGGTGTGTGTGTCACCTACTGGGTGTGTGTGTCACTGCGTGTGCCACACTGCGTGTGTCACCTACTGGGTGTGTGTGTCACCTGCGGGGTGTGTGTGTCACTGCGTGTGTCACCTGCGGGGTGCCGCTGTCTCAGCTCCCGGTCCAGCAGCTGTTGCCGCGTTGAGAGCGGAGCAAGCCACACGTGGAGGAATCGATTCCACCCCCCAACACTTATCAATCGATTCCCAATTCAAACAGAGCGCGGTGAATCGATATTACGGTGTTGCAGGCTGGACTGTGTCGATTCCCAAATTCGCTATTACTTTGCATGGACGCGGATCGATATCCTTATTGGAACGTATTTGAAATCGGATCGTCTCGGAATCGATTTTTCCTCGTTCGCGTAAATACAATTGCAAAGGGCGATTCACCAAGGCTGAATCGATAGCCATACCCTGACCGTTTCTTATGAGGAATCGATGAATTTAATCGAAAACAGCGCTGTCTAAATATTCGATTCTTGACCAAATTGGCCCCAAAAAGTAGTGCCGATCTCTTTGATTAACCCCCACCCCCCGCGGTCCGTGATGCAACGAGAACTCGGAGTCGAATTCACGCCTCGCCTCACCGCCCACGATCTGTGGTGTAGCCGCCCGCGATGTGAATGGCGCGAGTTGTGACTGAGGGGGGTGGGGGAGGGGACTACTTTGCGCCCCCGGTGGGCGGAGTGATCGCAAACATCGCGGAGTGGATCGGTTTCGGCGATTCGCACAAAAAAAATCGGATCAGTCCGCTGCCGGCACGTGACACGTCAGCAGTGTGCGGGGCGGGGTGGGGGAGGGGGTTAGGGGGGGTCACGTGATGCGAGTCGTCACGTGACAAAGGCGGCCATCTTACCTGGGGGAGTTGAGGAACGTGACGTTGTGACGTCACATCCTACGGTGTCCGTTGCGTAATGGCGTCACCTTCTGCTCCCCCCGCCCCTTGTGCGTAGTGACGTCACTCCACAACACGCGCGAGGCATCATGACGTCACATTTCCCCCGTAGGTAACGATACGTCGTGACGTCACATCCGGCGCGTCGTTGCGTCACGTTCACCCCCCACCCTTGATATTCGTGCGTGGTGACGTCACGGCGCAAGTTGTCTGTGCGTGGTGACGTCACCGCGCACGAGACGTACGCGTCACTTCCTCCTCTTCCTCCTCCCGCGGCGAAGTTGAGCGACGTGGACCCCATCCGATCCGGGCCCGCGGTGAGCGAGCCGATCTCCCGGCGCGGCAGGGTGGCAGTTGGTGGCAGTTGGTGGCAGTTGGTGGCAGTTGGTGGCAGTTGGTGGCAAGGGGGGGAGACAAAGGCGGCCGTGCGGGGGGGAGTGGGTGCCGCTGCTCGCCACCCTAGAGTCTTGTAGGGGGGCTCACGGCCACCGACGAAGCCGCCAGTGGCGACGATTGCCTGAGACCGCCTCTGGGGCCTCGACCCGAGTTCTCCTGGCGGTGCAGTGGCGATGTGTGTGGGAGCAGCGAGCATCGCCACTGGGGGAGACAAAGGCGGCCGGGCGGGCGTGGTGGTGTCGCACTGTACGCGGCGTCGCACTGCACGCGGCGTCGCACTGTACGCGGCGTCGCACTGTACCACACAGTACTGTACTAAGTACACTTGATCACTCCTTAGTATTTAACACTGTACAGCACCGTACTGTGCTACGTGGCGAGCAACTTCCGGTCCAACACCGCGTTCCTTACTGTACAGCACTTGCATACAGTGCACAGTGAGTACTGTATCGCGTACAGTGCACCGTGAGTACTGTATCGCGTACAGTGCACAGTGGGTACTGTAATGCGTACAGTGCGCAGCTGATACTGTGTAGTGTACAGTGGGTGTTGTGCTGTGTACAATGGATGTGCTGTGTACAGTGGATGTATTGTGTACAGTGGATGTGCTGTGTACAGTGTACAGTGGATGTGCTGTGTACAGTGGATGTATTGTGTACAGTGGATGTGCTGTGTACAGTGGATGTGCTGTGTACAGTGTATAGTGGATGTGCTGTGTACAGTGTACAGTGGATGTGCTGTGTACAGTGTACAGTGGATGTGCTGTGTACAGTGTACAGTGGATGTGCTGTGTACAGTAAGTCGTGTGTTGTACACTGGGTGGTCCTCTGCTGCTCTTGCCGAGTGGCTCCCGGTTCTGCAATCTCATCATCTGCGTTCGTCCTGGAAGGAAAATCCGACGATGGAAGTAACGCAGCAGGAGTCGTGTCAAGCTGCGCAAACACCGCGATAGACAATCTGTGGTTCTGTCGGTAAAGTCACGTAGGGTATGAAATAAAATTAATCACGACGTTTCGGGCGCAACCCAAGCGTCCGTCATCAGGTGTGAAAGTATTTTATTTTATAACTTCAAACACCACGACGACAGATGATGGCTTTAGCAAGGAATCACGTTTCTGCATTAACCACACGCAGTACTTGTGAACATGCAAAACACACACGGCTCTTTAACGCGTGGCAGGCTTGCACGACCAATATCATCCATGATAGAGGTTGTTTTGTGGGGTTAGATCGCGTGTAAATAGATAAATGTGTCGTTAAAACCCGCCGCCACCCGTCACAGCCGTCTAGTGACGGATTGGCACGTTCTGTTTACGCGACAACCCTTACTAGTTGTCTGTGTTGGGTGGTGGCGGGTTTTAACGACACATTTATATCTTGATTTGAAGCTTTCGTGACTGCAGGGATCCATACTCGGGTTCTTTGCACGCAGCGTTGGTGTACGGTGTTTTTTTCTGCAATATTTTGCTGTCTTTTCTTGGATTTTCTGTTTGCACTCAGTCACATATTCACTTTAAGATGTTTTTTTGTTTTTGTTTGTTGCGGTTGCACCCGATTCAAGAGCCGAATGGCTCACAGGGCTATACCTAATAAATGAACTTGAACTTTCGGTAAAGTGACGTAGGTAGAAAATAAAATCCAGATATATAAACACAGACGTAACTTCAACCGAGAAGATGGATACGCATTGAGAAATCATTGTAAGGATGTTATTAACCAGGTAAACCCCGAACTGCTTTGTATTGGTTGCCGTCTATCATATCTGCCGGGTACGACTACACCACACGTGACTTTACCGATGAGCCAAAGAGTATGGACACATTTATATATTTATAAGCGATCTCACCCAAAAAAAACTCTTATGGGGAACATGGTTCCGATAATAGTGTGGTGTGGCATTGTCTTTGAAACTGATTGGCCTTCACCAATAGCTACAGGAGAGCCTTGTTCTGTATGGCCTCGTTTCACTACCGCTGAGAGAACACCACCACAGGACGAACAGTACAAGGACAATGCTACACGTATCGGTGCATTTATAGGTCGCGGTGAGCAGCAACTCTGTCATGGGAAGCCTTGTTGGCAGTATCAAAGTGTGAAAAACAAGAATGGGTTTCACCCTTTCTGGCAGTAAAACAGAAAGTGTGTTCAAGAATGTTCAAACACCAAATTGAAACCTTTTCCAAGGAATCGAGTCACTGCATTAACCACACGCAGCACTTTTTTATGTGAACATGCAAATAAAACATGCTCTAGTTAATATTTGATGGCATTGTTGTTGAAACGGATTGGGCTGCACCAGAAACACGGCCTGGTCTCACTAACCAGTGTCAGAACAGAGAAGGACAATGCATTATATATTGTCAGAGCCATGTTTTGTCTGCATGTTCACCACAAGTACTGTCTGTGGTAAATGCAGACGTGATTCCTGACCAAAAGGTTTCTATTTCGTGTTGGGACATCTTAACACCTCCTGTTTTTATTGCCAGAAGTGGCACAGACACCAATAGACTCATCGCACACAGACCCGTAGACTCACCACAGAGTGAAGATAATTGTGCGTGTGTCTCGCTCCCTCCCTCTGCCTCTCTCCTCCCGTCATTCCCTCTGCTCAGCAGCAGCATCAGCAGCATCAGCAGTATCAGCATCAGTTGCGGCGATGATCACGGACGTGCAGCTCGCGATCTTTGCGAACGTTCTGGGAGTGTCGCTCTTCCTCCTCGTGGTTCTGTACCACTACGTGGCCGTGAACAACCCCAAGCGCAGCGCCTGAGGAGGTGAGCAGGGGGGGTGAGGAGGTGGGTGAGGAGGTAAGGAGGTGGGTGAGGAGGTGGGGTGAGGAGGGGGGGCGAGGAGGTGGGTGAGGAGGTGGGTGAGGAGGTGGGTGAGGAGGTGGGTGAGGAGGTGGGTGAGGAGGTGGGTGAGGAGGTGGGTGAGAATGGGGGGTGAGCAGGGGGGGTGAGGAGGTGGGGGAGTGAGGTGGGGGATGATGAGTGGGGGTGAGGAGGTGAGGATGGTGAGGAGGTGGGTGAGGATGGGGGATGAAGAGGGGGGTGAAGAGTGGGGGTGAGGAGGTGGGGGAGTGAGGTGGGGGATGATGAGTGGAGGTGAGGAGGATTTTGAGAATGGGGGGTGAAGAGGGATGTGAGGAGATGAAGAGGGTGCTGAGGAGGGGGGGTTCAGGAGATGGGAGAGTGAGCTAGGGGGGTGAGGAAGTGGGGGAGTGAGGTGCGGGGTGAGGAGTGGGTAAGGGGCTGAGGAGGGGGCACGTGGGGTGAGGATGCCATGTGGGCGAGTGGCTGGGTGCTCTCCTAGCCTGGCACAGTAGGGGGTACAGCTGGTGGTGCATCTTTCAGTCATCTCAGGCAATTCATGGCACCTGCTGGGTCTGTCCCGTGACCTCCTGCACCTAGCCTGGCACAGTAGGGGGTACAGCTGGTGGTGCATCTTTCAGTCATCTCAGGCAATTCATGGCACCTGCTGGGTCTGTCCCGTGACCTCCTGCACCTAGCCTGGCACAGTAGGGGGTACAGCTGGTGGTGCATCTTCCAGTCATCTCAGTAAACCCATGGTACCTGCTGGGTCTGTCCCATGACCTGCACCTAGCCTGGCACAGTAGGGGGTACAGCTGGTGGTGCATCTTCCAGTCATTTCAGTAAACCCATGGCACCTGCTGGGTCTGTCCCATGACCTGCACCTAGCCTGGCACAGTAGGGGGCACAGCAATGGTGCATCTTCCAGTCAGCTCAGTCAGTAAACCCATGGCACCTGCTGGGTCTGTCCCATGACCTGCACCTAGCCTGGCACAGTAGGGGGCACAGCAATGGTGCATCTTCCAGTCAGCTCAGTCAGTAAACCCACGGCACCTGCTGGGTCTGTCCCGTCTGCCTTGGAGTGTCTCCTGTCCCACCTATACTTGGTCTCTCCCCAATGTTCTGCGCAGGCACTGCTTCTGATGACGCAATTCGAATTTAAGAACTTTATTTATTTATTAAAGGGGGCGCCGCTGTGGATTGGAGATGTTTCATCGCCTGGTATGCAGGAGGTCGTGGGTTCGATCCCGTGACCCTGACGACTGCTGCTTTATATTTGGAGTTTGCATGTATCTCTCTCCCTCTCTCCATGAAGAGATGTTTACTACCTCGCCTGGTACACAGGAGGTCGTGGGTTCGATCCTGTGACCCTGACGCCTGCTGCTGTATATTTGCAGTTTGCGTCTCTCTGTGCCACTGCGTGTGTGTTTGTTAGTGTGTCGTGTCACTGTGTGTGTCTCTGTGTCACTGTGTGTCGCTGTGTGTGTCTCACTGTGTGTGTGTGTCACTGTCCGTCTGTGTATGTGTACCTGTGTTTGTGTACCTGTGTGTGTCTGCGTTAGTGTAGCGGTTAGCGTTATGCTGCGCTACGAACCTGGCGACCCGGGTTCGATTCCCGCTCACGGCCAACACCAGTGTCGATGATCTAAATCGGTCCAGGGCCTCCCCTAGGTCGACTCGGCCTCAAATGAGTACCTGGTGTGATGTGTAAACATCGCCACTAGGGAGACAAAGGCGGCCAGGCGTGGTGTTGGCCACCCACCCCCTCGTGTGCCGTGCTGGCCTTTATAGGTGCTTCCTAACAGCACTTGCCCCTACAGTCTATTAAGGCTATACGGGGGATCTTTGTCTGCTGCTAAAACGTAGCAAGTTGGCACAGATGGGGTGCACCTTCAAGTCACCTCAGACAGTCAACCCATGGCGCCTGCTGGGTCTGTCCCCGGCCGGGCGTTGGACACTTCACGTGGCCTTTGAAGTGCACCTGGCCTGGCACAGGCGCCGTGCTGATGTCACCTCCACTTACGTGGTGAATGGCGGCTGCTGCTGCTGTCGTTGCTGCTCTCCTGTGTGGCAGGCCGTGTGTGGGTGAGCGGCCGCGAGGGTGAGCCACTCGGAGGGATGACGAGGAGCAGGAGGAGGAGGAGTTGGACTCGGCTGCTCGTGACGCCCACTCACCGTGACCTCAATAAACACGAGTGATATGACACAGCGTGTGCGCGTGTGTGTGTGCTCACGGCCACCAACACCAGTGACAGCGATTATCTGAACCGGTTCTGAGCCTCCCTGAGGTCGATTCAGCTTCAAATGGGTAACCTGATGCAGCAGTGTGTTGTAGTGAACATTGCCACTGGGGAGACAAAGGCGGCCGGGCGTGGTTAGTAAGTATTGTGGTTAATGCAGACATGATTCCTTGTAAAAGGTTTCAGTTTGGTGTTTTAACAACTTAACACCTGTTTTGTTGCCAGATAAAAGGGGAAAACTTTTTCTCAGACATGACACGGGCGAGAGAGGAGATGGACTGATGCGGTATGGGAGGATGTGGAGCTGAGTGGATTTGCCAAATACCGGTACCAGCGGTGTCAAGATCGGCCTCTGTGGAGGAGGCTCGTGAAGGACGCTACTGGGCAGTTGGAGGCAGTCGCCCTCCAGCAACAACGGAGGGCGGAGGAGCGACGCTCACAACAACGAGCGGAGCGCCGGGCGTTTAAAACAGCGAGTTGGCACAACGGGAAGCCAGTCATCTCAGTCAACCTATGGTACCACCTGAGCCGTCAACACTTCATGTGGCCTCAAAGTGCACTTAGCCTGGCACAGACGCCATGATGACATCACTGGGAACTTTGTGGCGGTCACAACGGGCTGCACAGAAGTCGAGCAGCCTCCCATTGTTATTGAGCTGATGTTGCCCATGCTTTGCAATCACTCCAGCCCAGGTGCCAGCATCATGACCCACTCGGACATTAAAGTCACTCAATATGATGACTATCCCGAGGGGCCACTTTAGCCAGCACCTCTGACAAGAGGTTAGAGAAGGCGCCTGACACATCGGTCTTGCTTGCATCCCTCCACTGATGTTCATCTTCGGTGGGGGGTGTAAGCCACTACCATTCATCGCCGCTCGTTGATGAGGAGGTGAGCCCACAGTAACCTGGGGCTTACAGCTTCCCATGCCTCCTGCTCCGAGTAGAGGACTGTCCACCTCTTATGGTGACAGGAACCAGAACCATTCCAGCGGACCACCTGAATTCAGTTTTCAATTTTATTTATTTGGTTTAGCCGTGAGCCATTCGGCTCTTGAATCGGGTGCAACGGCAAGAAACAAAACCATGAACAAGAAAACATTTTATGTGACTGTGCAAACAGAAAAATCCATGAAAAAACAGCAAAAATCTTCCAGAAAAAGCATCATACACCAACGCTGTGTGTAAAAATCCCAGTGGGATACAAGTCAAACAACAACAACCACAAGACAACTTAGATTAAGGCCATCAGTCTAACTCTGTACTACAACAAACAAACATGGCCAAACTAAAAAACGTTTTCGAAATCACCAAAATAAAGCCATAAAAGCAATGTAACAGTAATCATAGGAACTGTGACCGAAATTTCACAATAAACGACAAACAACATGTACCACCAAACCCTGCAGCCATAGCTGGTTGCATGAGTCACTCCACAACAGCAGGAGCATCAGGAGTATCAAAAAATTTCAACGCTCTGTGAATACCACGGAGTGAGCGTTCGAGCATTCCACGTGGCCATTCGCAGTGCATTTTTGCTGTTTCACGCACACAGAGAGGCACGGACTCACAGAATCACACAGAGTCCCAGACTCGCAAAGAGAGCCACAGACTCGCAAAGAGAGCCACAGACTCGCAAAGAGAGATTCACACAGAGACAGACTCGCACGGAGACACACAGACTCACACAGAGAGATTCACACACAGAGCCACAGACTCGCACAGAGACACACAGACTCACAGAGATTCACACACAGAGCCACAGACTCGTACAGAGATTTGCTCACAGAGAGACGGACTCGCACAGAGACAGACTCACACAGAGAGATTCACACAGAGAGACAGACTCACACAGAGAGATTCACACACACAGACAGACTCACAGAGAGCCACAGACTCGCACAGAGATTCACACAGAGCCACAGACTCACACAGAGAGACAGACTCGCACAGAGACACAGACTCGCACAGAGAGATTCACACACAGAGAGCCACAGACTCGCACAGAGACACAGACTCACACAGAGAGATTCACACAGAGAGACACGGAGACTCGCAAAGTGGAGAGCTGCAATAGCCCATGGCCCTCAGGGGGTCTCAGAGGAGTCGTGATTGGGGTGGTGGATGGAGTAGGTGGGGGGGGAATGGAGAAGAGATGGACTGCCCTTGCTATCCAACCAATCACTGGAGTGTGCGAGTCGCCTACAGATATTTCGTAGATCTGGACACAGTCCCCATCATCAGCGAGCTCCTCCGGCAGGTGAGGCTGCGTTGGTTGGGTCACGTCGCAGCCCGCATGCCCAGTCACATCATGCCCAAGCAGAATCAGACTCGGAGCACAGAGACCCACACACAGACACATGCACAGACTCACAGAGAGACACACACATACAGACTCGTACACATACCCATACAGAGACCCACACAGAGAGACACGTACAGAGAGACACGCACAGAGAGACACGCACAGAGACTCACCCACACAAAGACCTACCCACACAAAGACCCACAGACTCGCACACAGATCGCCAGAGATACACAGAGACACACACATAGACGTGCACATACAGAGACACACAGAGAGACAAATATCCGAGGGGGTGGGTGACCAGCACCACTCTCCATCGCCTTTGTCTCCCCAGTGGCGATGTTTACACCCCGTACCGGGTACTCATTTGAGGCCGAGTCGACCTAGGGGAGGCCCAGGACCGGTTCAGATAATCGTTACTGGTGTTGGCCATGAGCGGGAATCGAACTCCGGTCGCCGGGTTCATAGCGCAGCGTAGCGCTAACCCCTACACTACCGCTCCCCACACACTCATATACACAGACACACACACAGATACACAGACTCACACAGAGAGTTACTGACTCACACAACAGAAAGACACCGACTCACACACAGAGAGACACACAGACTCACAACGGAGAGACGCAGACTCACACAACGGACAGACGCAGACTATCACACACAGACTCTCACACACACAGACTCGCACACACGGAGACACACAGACAGAGACACACACAGACTCACACAGACTCACACACAGACTCTCACACAGACTCTCACACACACAGAGACACACAAACTCACACAACGGAGAGACACAGACTCACACACAGAGACACACACAGACACACACTCACACAACGGAGAGACACAGACTCTCACACACACACAGACTCCCACACAGACTCTTACACACAGACTCTCACACACACAGACTCTCTCACACACACAGAGACACAGACTCACACAACGGAGAGACAGACTCTCACACACAGACACACACACACAGACTCACACACACAACGGAGAGACACAGACTCACACACAGACTCTCACACAGACACTCACACATACACAGACCCTCACACACAGAGACTCTCACACAGAGAGACCCAGAGGCGAGCAGCAAGTGGCCACGCGTTGGACGTTGGCCCCGAGGGCACACGCGGCTTGGCGGGGTCACAGCGGCCGCTGCCCCGAGCCCCCGGGGTGCCACGTCGCTGATTGGCCGCAGCCACCCACCCACCAACATCCACCCACCACATCCACCCATCTCATCCACCACATCCACCCACCCATCTCACCCACCCACCACATCCACCCACCACATCCACCCATCACATCCACCATATCCACCCACCCATCTCACCCACCCATCACATCCACCCACCACATCCACCCATCACATCCACCACATCCACTCACCCATCTCACCCACCCACCACATCCACCCACCCATCTCACCCCCCACCACATCCACCACATCCACTCACCCATCTCACCCACCACATCCACCCACCACATCCACCCACCACATCCACCCATCACATCCACCCACTACATCCACCCACCACATCCATCCACCCACCACATCCACTCACCCATCTCATCCACCCACCACATCCACCCACCCATCACATCCACCCACATCCACCCACCACATCCATCCACCCACCACATCCACCCACCCACCACATCCACCCACCCACCAACATCCACCCACCACACCCACCCACCCATCTCATCCACCCACCCACATCCACCCACCCATCTCATCCACCCACCACATCCACTCACCACATCCACTCACCACATCCACCCACCACATCCACCCACCCACCAACATCCACCCATCTCATCCATCCACCACATCCACCCACCGACCAAATCCACCCGCCCACCACATTCACCCGCTCACATGTCCTCCGGGTAGGCCTCGGCAAGGTAAAGTAATTTACCCTTTTACCGGGTAAAAGGGTAAAGGTGTCGACATGCCAAGGGGTAAGGTAATGTGTAGGGTAAAGGTATCGCAAAGTTTTACCCGGCAAACACCTTGTTTACCTACTACCTTGTTTACCGCTCGCTAAAAGTTTCGTGGCGCAGTCCGTGGCCTCCATTTAAACATTGGAATCATCGAGAGTATTCTATAGATGAATAAAGCGCTCTACCTAGCAATCACCGTCATAAGCCTTGTTCATGTGTAGTAGTACCCCAGTAATTACCCTGTAATCGGGTTATTTGTATGGGGTGAGGGTAAACGGTAGGGTAAAGGTCGGCTCGTTGTTTTTACCTTTTGCCGAGGCCTACCTTGTCGAAGCCTACCTCCGGGCCCCCTTCACTACTCCGTGTCAGCACGTCCCCCCCTCTCTCTCTGGGACGGCACCCTGCTCTGTAGGGCTTCCCCGCCACGTTTCCGTCGGCCCCATCGAGAGGTACGTGCACACTTATTCACCAGTTGTGGTTGTAGTCGGCTTATACGCCGTAGAGACGTTATTTACGTCTCTGTAGTAACATCGGGGATGTCACTGTATGGTGCCGGCCCGGAACGGTCGTGCCGTTCGATGTTCTTACATCGTGAACAGCACCGTGTGGGTGGCTGTGTGTAGCACCAGCCCTAGCGGGGCTTGGCAAGCACTGGGATAGCGCGGGCACCACGCACGGCGTGTGGTGG